CAAATTCTTAGGTTCAAGTTTTAGTCTTAAGCAAATATTTTCACCATTCCAAAGTGATAGAACCTCACATCTGGGGACTATCACACCTTAGTTTATGACTTATTTGTAAGCTTGAATCATAGCAATCGTGTCGGAACAGAGGTTTTACAAGTTTTTCTATTCGTGGAAATTCAGAGTATTCTCTGTTTATTACGCACTTGAAGTATTTCGTTATATTAATTCCAGCTTTATTCTACACGTTCTTTTATTTATAATATTTATATTTATTGTGCATGATCTTGATATATGCTTGTGTTGTTGTTGTCCCGTACCTTTACCATACTCGCATTTACATGTTTTAGATTCTTAAATCATGTTTAGGTTTATGTTTAATAAATTCAATTGCATGCTTAATTCAAAAATCATGTCCGACTAAATTATTTTGAGTCTAGTATGTGAGGAGCGTCGTTCTGGCAGAACTCGGTATTGATTTGGCGCAAATACTTTTCATAAAAATCATTTTTCTTTAGTTTAGTTTTTATTTCAATATTTTCAAAGGTTTTTCGTGACGACAAATTCATTAAGGTTTCAAACCAATAAAAACGAGAGTGTGAGATTTGTACCGGATAGTAAAAATTAGACATCAATTTTAAACACAACGAGAACACTTTAGAATTGATTAGAACTTATTAGTTTTCAAAGAGTATTTCATAAACTAAAAATTGAGCGAGAGCAAAATGTTGGTTGTTTGGAAATATTACAAAGGTCAATAAAAATGAGTGTGAGACTGATGTTTTTAAACTAATATTTTTCTTTAAAAAAAAGGTAGATTTTAAACTATAACATGCGCCACTGATTTATTAAATTTTCGAGATACACAAAGAATTACATATTGATCTTACCTTCATCAATTATTTCTATTAATTCTTAATTCTTTAATTTTTGTTCGATTTAACATAAAACTATATATTCATTAGTCTTAGATTTACATTATATCAATAGAAAATTGTAAAATTAATGGTTAGTCATTGTGAATTTGATATCTAATTAAAACTATATTGGTATTTCGGTACACTTGTGAATTGACTTCGTGATCTCTGTAGATTAAACAAGTGTCAGTCAATCATATGTGAATTCTAAGTTTCTATTAAAGGATAAAACATCACGGATTTCAATAAACTATAGTTAGAAGTCAAGCATCGCAAAACTACATTTGAACTAATGAATTGAATTATATCAAAACAAAATTGTATCAATTCTATTGGAATTCGAATAAATAATTAGAATAACAATATAATTGGATAAGAAAAGAATAAAATCAACGGAAACAACATTAAAACTTCAAGGTCATGGTGAAATACTATATTAATCATTTAGTTTAGTCTGCCATGAAGAAAAGGAAAACTTTTTTCTATTTATATTGCAATTACGAGTTCTATACCATTCAATTCTACTATCAAAAGAGGAAATAAATATTACTCCCTCGGGTTTTTTATTATAAATTACTTTGAGAAAAAAATTATATCATAATACAAGTCATTTTACGATACCAATAAATAATTAATACTATTTTTTCTATTTTATTTTTAAATATTTATTATTCTCTCTTCTTTCAATTATGTAAATGTATTTTCTAAATATCATTATTGAAGAATAATTTTGTAAAAAAATTTATAATTTTCATATAATAATTATTATTTTTCTTAACACGTGTGAAAAATTAAAAATGATTTATAATAAAAAATTGAGATATTACAAAATTTGGACTCTAAGTGCACAAACTGGTTTAGAAGAGATTTTTATTGGTAAGACTTCAAGTCTAGCATCAACATAAAACTCATACACATCAATCTCATATTTGTAGCACAAGTTATGATATGTGCGGCAAAAAAGTATCAAAATACAATTTTTTTCAAAAATAAGTATAAATTAATTAATTAAAATTCAATTATAATCCAAGTTTAAAAACATACTAAAAACACTAAAATTAAATTCAAGAAGCTTTCAAAATTTTAGAAGTATAAAGTTAAAAAAGATACGGTAAAATGTATTGCTTAGTCAGATGGTCAGATTATACAAAATCATTCTTTAAATATGATAATATGATCATCAAACAAAGCAATAACTATCATATGAAGTAATAATTAATGATAGGTGATTTATTTTTACAAAAGAATTTTATAGAGCCTTCATAATTTTATTTCTGAACGTTTGCTCTAATTTTCGAACTTGTTTCATCTATAGTAATTCACAAATTTCTAATGTTGTAATTCCGAATTTTGCTTCAGCGAGGAGGAAATTATATTTTTTTCATTATTCCTGTAAGCAGTGAGGTTTCAATGCAAGAAATTACAATAATCTAAATTAGATACTATATCAACCAACGAATATGTATAATCAAAATCAGTGTAAGTCTCTTGGAAACAAGATTCCTCTCCTTAAAATGGATTTGAGTATTTTGGAATAAGGTATACAACCTACAAGTGACTCACCCTTGAGTCATGCATGAATTGATTAATCACATTGATTACATATTTTAAATTCAGTCTAGTGTGTGCAAAGTAAATCAACTTTTCCAATAACATTTGATATTGCCCTTGTCAACTTAGACATTTTTCTTCTCATAGCTCATCTAATGATTTTATTGAATGGAAACGCTTGAAACGCTTGTAGGTGTGCACTCAAGTTTTCATGTTTTCTACCACAACAAAAAAATTAAGCATATATTTTCACTAAAATAAAAATATCTTTATTTAATGAGTTGCTTTAACTTCGAAGAATTACTTGAGTTTTCAAGAATTAAACCGAACTGACTCAACGAAAAACTGTTAACCGAACTAAATTGAAAATCACAAATAAAATGTGATTGATTTGAATGTGATTGATTCATTTTCTAATATAGTCGACGGTTCAGTTTAATTTATAATTTATATTTTACAAACTAAACTAAATTATATTGTATTTTAAAATCTTACAAACCATTACATATTTTTTAAATTCTTTATATATATATATATATATATATATATATATATATATATATATATATATATATATATATATATATATATATATATATATATATATATATATATATATATATATATATATATATATATATATATATATTTTAATTTACATACTAACAAAAATAAAATATTATTTATTTATAATATTTTTATTTTTATTTTTATTTTTATTTTTATTTTTATTTTCATTTTTAATTTATTGACTTTGATAAAGATAAAACTAAAAGAAAAAGTTTAATTTACATTACTGTTGTATTCTTTTATTAGATAAAAAATATTGATGATAGAAAAATTATAGTGTTATTAGGTTAATCACATGCACTTGCTTATAACTATATAATATATTATTTTAAATTTTTTATACACTATATTATTTCAATTTTTTTTTAAAATACATTATGATGTATATTATTCTTAAAACATAAAGATAAAATTGACAGACTCAATCCATATATATGCATTAAATTATAATTTATTTTACAATTACACACTTAATTAATATTAATGTATGAATAACTAAATGCAAAATTATATTATCTTTTATGTGTAAATATGTTTCAATAAAAAATTTGTAAAAAACTGAACTACCAAACCAATTCAAATTATATTGATTCAGTTCAATTATATTTTTAAAAGTCAATCAAACTAAAGTGAATCGCACGATTTTTTAACTTGCAATTCAGATGACTCTTAACGTTAAAACGGCCGAAACCACATTGCAACCATCCTTTAGATGTGTTTGAATTGGTAGTGGACAAAATTGATTTTGAGAGAATTTAGTTTGGTAGAATTAATTTTAACAGAATTGAGTTTAGTAGAATTGATTTATGTTTGGATACAATAATATAAAAGTGATTGTTATCTATTAATGTTGTTTGAATAATTTTATCAAAATTAATTTTGAATGGTATAATTACCAAAATGGTAATAAATTATAATACAAATAAAAAAGAGAGAAATAATTGATGAAAATTAAAGAAGGTAAAGAAGAAAAATTAAAAAGAGTTTAAGAAATAATATATAATAAATGTAAAATTGATTCTAATAACTCAAAATTTGTCTCCATAATTGATTCTACTAAGCTAGATTTTATAGCTTCTGTTTTCAAAATTAATTCTGAATAATTTTTACAATGAAATTTATTATAACTCACTTTTACATAAATATATCCAAACACAAATCAAATTAGCTAAACTCAATTATGATAAAATCAATTCTACCAAACTCAATTATGCTAAAATCAATTATATCAACTCAATTATGCTTTTGAACAAGAATTGATTTTGGAAAAATATCCAAACAAGAAGAAAAAAATTTCAAATTGTAGTGGACTAGAATGCACTTAATGTGATGCATACAGATGTATACTAATGTGGGAAGAGCGATCCCTTACAAAATTAGAATTTCAGATATTTGGCCCATTAGAAATAAGTTGCACAACCCGACAGTCAAGAAAATGGCTTCAGAGACGAAATTTTGGTGTCTGGAACTGTCAAATGAAATAAATTGTATATAATTTTATCTACATGCTAATCTACATAAATGACTACTTGAAACGGATCAATAATCACTAAACGTTTATACACAGGTGTTTCGAGGTCTTAGAGCCAGATGAACGCAAGTGTGATTAATAAGGTTCATTAATGTCTAACAAGTAACGTCCATGTAAATTTCCAGTAGCAATGGCCAACAGATTACAATTATCTCACTAGTAATTAACCTCACATTACAAATCCGATGACATCGCAAATATTACAGTCTGTCTTTTAGATCAGTAGACTGAGAACAAAGGCATATGAATGTTGCTGCAGAAAGCCTTGAGTATAAATATTGGCTCCTTTCCCACATACATGGTATGTGGAGGACCAAAACTGAATAATAATCAAATTAACCAAAACTTTCATTTACTTTTCCAACCAATGAAATAAGATCAAGCATTAATAGCATGCAGCAACTGTCACTCCAGAGCCAAAACTATGCAACTGATGTGTTTCATGATTCCGCGGGAGTACCTTCATCAGGTTTGCCAAATATTCGAAGATTCCGGTCCAATGATGCAACTGCCAAGTATTTCGAATCTGGACCAAATTTTACACATGTAGATGTCCCTGCAAATAAATGGTTCAAGTTGCATTTTAGTAACTGTACAAACATGAAATCCTAGAAGTGTGCTGTACAATAATAATTATAGTGGGGGAAAATCATGACAGCACCTGTTCCAGATAAATCAGGAAAAGTTTTGATCAAGCTCCATTCAGATTTCACATTTGCAACTTGGTATACCCTGCATAAGGTAACAGGGACAATAAATCAGTTCAAGGAAAACCTAATGAAATGAATGGGTATTTGGGTATATCCCAATCATTCAAGTTCAAGTAACAGGCTAATGCTAAAACTATTTCTATAAACTATCTTGTTAGAGTTAAACTCGAAAATAAACTGAAAATGAAAACAACTTATAAAATATTATAAGATAAGGATAAGCTCAAATATGCTTTTCAAACAACCCTTCTCCACTCTACATTATTCCTCACCTTACATCAGAGCCTGCGACTGCAAGGTAGGATCCACTGTGGTCAAACTCCACTGCAAGATACAGAGAATAAGATGAAGACGATGTGAAATAGGTACAAGTTTTTAACATGTGTACAGTAGGGCCATCCACAAAAGGTGAAAATGAATACCAGAGTTTGTTGGAGTGTCTGCATCATATGGAGCGAAATTCCTGAAGTTTTTCAATTTTCGTAGATCCCAAAGCTTTACGCCATCTTGAGCTGCAGTCTATTAAATTTAAGAGTATAAGAGTACTGTAATAATGATCTTCCTGCTTAAACTTGTTACATTTTCTCACGTACCGCAAGGTAGTATCCATTCTCAGAAAATGATATTGCAGTTACATCCCCCACATGTCCATCAAACTTAGCAACATTTGCCTGCAACCAATAATATAATATGAGAAGAAAAATTAATATTGAAATTAAACTAAAAATAAAGTAAAAATAATTTGCATACCTGACTTTTTACATCCCAGATCTTAACAAGAGAATCTGTAGTGCCTGTTCCAAGAATAAGACCATCAGGATGAAAAGCTGCAGAGGTGTAGCCTTGAGAAGAGTCTGAAACCTATGAATACCAAATCATTTATTGTTGATTCAGAACTTGGGTAGGAAAGAATGTATTAATTAAAGGTTAAAACCTGTTACTTTCAGAAGATATTTATACAGAATTTTATATATACATAAATCCCAAATTCTCTAGACATCACTATAAAACTATTCCACAGCCCGTAGGCATCAATCTTAAAAAAAAGGCTTGTAAGCCTGAACTGTTCTTCCTCTTAATCAGTAATGATAAAGGAAAAAAAACAGACCTGAGTCAGACAAGTGCCTGAAGATAGTTCATAAAAGCACCAGGTGCCATCAAGTGATGCAGTCACAAAGTAATTATTGGTGGCATGGACGGTGACGGCTTTAACCTGAAAATTTGTGAAGACATTATTCTTACATCACAACAGAACACATGACATGAGAGCAGCCAAACTGACGGGAATTAAAGTAGCATAAACCATAGATTTGAAAGAAGTATCATCCTCAGATATTCAAGAACAACAATCATAAATGCACTTATAACAGAAGTTTCACAGTTAATGAAATTACGATTCATGGATAGAAGATAAAGATATATTGTTTTACACCTCAATTTTTATAAAATCCAGCATGAGTAATAAATATCAACATAGAGAACATCAAATTTAAGTAAAGGTACAAATTAGAGGACACCATTGGTTGTAAAAGTGAATGACCAGATTTGTTTCATTTTATATTAGCAGAGATAGGCACAACATAGGTCTGTCTTGATTTCACTACTCAAAAAATATTGAAACTTTTTTAAAATTAAATGGAAGCAAGAGAAAAGTCTTCCAATTTTAGAATAAGAGTATGTTAACCTAGAGACAAAAACTGCTGATGGTAAAAGAGAAAGAAACAGCAAAAAATCAGGGATAGCAATATGGCTAGATTTGCAGACCTCATCCAAATGATCCCTCAATATCTGTCTGCAGTTATAGTTACCATCATCTGACCCTTGCCACAATCGAACTGTCTGCAATAGGGAAAAAAATATTATTGACATGGAGAAGGCAAATCGAAAATAGATCTTCAGTCTATTTCTTAAGAAGCATACATAACTTTGAACCATTATATAATGAGAGTGAGGAAGTATTTGTTTATGTTTTAGACTATCAAATGGGAATTTTTTTCTCATATTTAAGAACAGAGTGGTATGGAAGCTGCACACTTGATAAAACTTTGTACTCAACCAGACAATTACGATGTATCTCAAAAGGGTTTTGACAAGTCAACAGAAATACCAGTGAAAGACCATTAATCAAATTGGCTAGTTAGTAGTTACTGCCACAATTATAAGACTATGCACTTAACAGCACAAAACTACAGCTTTTCAGTATTCTGGATGCTTCTGAGTTCATATTTGCAAGTCAAATTCACCACGTAAGATGGCCAAAATGAAGACTGACATGCAAAAGACATATTCATTATGGGAACAAAACAGAAGCGTAATTGCAAGAGATTTGAAAATCTCAAACGTGAACTTGGAGTTCATAGTTTACATAAGTTTAAGGGTTTGAACGAGCTAAGTGCAAAACCTAATTGGTTATGTATACAAAGAAAACAAGGAATGTATGGATGGGACAGCTGTCTCATGCTCTACCAAGTGTGCTCTTAGCTGAGAGAGTATGGTCAGATAAAATAGTTCCAATTTACAATCTGTGAAACTAAACTACTCTAGAATTAGAAAAGATAGCACTTTACCTTATCTGCTGAACCAGTTATTACAGATTCTCCCTGACCTACAAACTTCACACTGGTAACCTGCCAAAAGCATCCATGGTCAGCTAATAGATTTTGAGAAATAGAAAAACCCAGCAAAATTCCTGATAAAACAAGACCTTTTTAGAGTGGCCGCTGAGTGTAGCCAATATTTGTCCTGATGGACGGTCAAAAATAACAGCATTTGAATCAATACCTCCAGTTGCAATTAAGTCCTGTCAAACAAGAAATGGGTTTATTCTCTGTCAATGCTTGTTAGTTTTCTAATTAAGTAAAATGTTTCCAATATTAAATGTAATACCTTAGAATGAAGGATATCAAGAGAAATAATGCCTTGTTTGTTAGTTTTGTGAAAGGGGTGACTAGATATCTGGGTATACGTCTCTAGAGCCTCAACAGGAGCCAAAGTCGCAGGAATCTGAAATAAACCATAGAACATGCCACAAACAAGTGACAAAATCCAAATTCACTATCTGTCGCAATAAAGAACATTCCAAGTATCGGAGAAAAGTAAACAACTGTTACAATTTCATGGCACAAGCCAAAACAAGTAAAAAGGAATACAATTTCATGACATTGTCAATAATAAATCTTAATAAATAATTTCAAGTTATCCAAAGGCTCTAAGCAAAACTGAGTTCAAAAAGAAAAAATTAGACGGTACAAACTAGGAAAATACTAGCATTGAAAAAATTGATGCACTTCCTATAATCATGAATACCTGTCTCTTTTTCCTTTGCTGTGAAAGAGCAGCATTGCAGTCTGTTAACTCAGTAATTATGCTAGAAGATATCCCAGGATGTAATTTCTTCGCATTAGGTGCCAGTTCCGCGTCATCAGCAGCTAAAACATAAAAATGTCAATTCAAAGTAGCAAAATGCACTAATAAACAGCAAATAGGGGAAACTCGTAAAAAATAAGGTATCAAATATTAACTGTTGAATACCATCAACTAATGTTAATGGGGTGCCAAGGTTTTTTTAAAACTTACTACCCGCAATGCTTTACAAAAAATGCAGTGAAGAAAACATGAAAATTAACAAGAAAAAAAGATTTAAAACCTCTTTTCCCATTGCTGTGAACAGGGGCAGTCGCTGTCACAGCATTTGGTGTAGAAATAGGGAACTGTTGTTCTGCCTGTGCAAGAATAGACCTAGCTTCGTCTCGTTCTTTTGTAATTCTTGCAATCACGCGACAAGCAGCATCGTGCTACACATTAAAACAACAGGTAGGGAGAGTGAGTGAATTTGGTAGTAATTTTCCCATTTGTAATAGAAATTACAACAGATCAAATTTATTTTAACAAGAAACACATTCACAATTCACATCACTGTCTGAAAGAAAAGAAAATGAATCTCGATTGGAAAAAAAATTCGCATAATGAGTACCTAAAGAGCTAAGAGATATAGACCAAGAAGTTTTGGAGATTGTAAACCCAAATGCAAACTTTAGATTATCCAATTGTGATAGGAACTCGAGAAAAATTTCATATTGATTTAATAATGAAATTCAAGAGAATGGAAAACTTAACACTTGGTAATCAATAAGAGATCAATGGAATCTCCAAATGTTTTAAAATAATAAGAAATTGTACATGAAATATTAAGATAACCAACTTCTAAGCTGCAAACTTCCACAATTCCACAAACTGGCAGATCTGTAGAAGACAAGAATTCGTTTTGAGTCAATAATTTTGTTACTCTTACCTGATATAAAGCATGACTTAGCTCTTGTCTTGCTGTATGCAATTGTTGCTCCAATGCAAAGTTAGATAGCATTAACCCATCCCATTCCTAAAAATGAGAGAAAACATTTCTTCATAATGAGTATAGAATACAATTTTCTAAGCATTTCTTCTAATTATTTATCTGTATTATAGAAACCACCATTAAATTCTAAAACAAAGTGTATAAAATAAATTATCACATCCTCGGTTCTATACATTTTGGAACATTCCGAGCATGCCAGGGATGCTAGCTGCTTGCACTGGTCTGGGCTTCACTATCTGCAAGATAAATTATCTTGATTTAATTAGAAAACCACAAGTAACCATTTGAAAAAAAAGAAGAAAAAAAAACACAACAAAGATGACCAGCTTAGTCCACTTATAAACTACACCACTCAATATATAAATAAAGCAAACAACAGTATCATTACCACCGTACCTTGCCTGTATTGATTGATACAATGTCGTCCAGAGTAAGTGGCTCTCCGGTAACTGGACACTTCCCATAATCCTACTCAATTTTTTCAACGAAATTGTATATGAAGTATAAAAATCAGATTAGTAATAACATATGACAAGCCTGAAAAACATCAAGATGAAAAATAATTGCATTAAAAGTGGCTAAAACACTTAATGCACAGTAAAAACCTTCACATAAATTCAAATTTTAAAAATGCTACACAGGTAAACAGCTCACTATGGGCCTGTTTAGATAAACAGCTTATTTAGAGCTTATAGCACAAGTGCTTATCAAAATAAGCACTTATGAAACAACTTGCATAAGCTATTTTTCTAACAAAAGATAAAATAGATTAAAATTATTTTTTTATGAGTTCTAAATTGTTTTCATAACCTACAAAAATAAGCCCAAAAAAGTTTATGAATAATGCTATAAGCTCTTCCAAACGGTGTCGTATGGCATAAGATAAACTCAAATAAATCAATCCAAACAGACCCTATGTATAACTAAATTAATTCCACTACTGATTCCCAAACTACCCCTCTACCTTACACTACTATCCATAAATTGAACTACAAAACTTCAAATACGAAGAGAAAGAACCTTTACCTGTATATGTCTCTCGATTAATCTCTTCTCGAACAGAAGACCGGAGCTTTTTGACACCACGGGCTCTTCCGGAACCTCGCCGGAAACTGCAAAAAAAAAACAAATCACAGATCAAAAAAAGCTGAAATTCGAAAACAAACTACAGAAGAACTGAAAGAAGAGAATCAATCATGTGGTATAGAAATTGAGGAAGAAGAGATTAACTGGAGCAGTTCATGGTGTGGGGAAGTGAAAACTAGGGTTTTGGGTTTTGGAGAAGCGAACAGAAAGGGATGTGAGGTAGTACAGAGAGATAGACACGAAGGCGAAGCAAAACCGAAATTAAAACCAATTCTAATAATCGTACAGATTTGGTACTTTTTTGTTGCGGAAAAAGCCCGGCCCAGTTACCCGGTCCAGCTTTTCTTTTGGTGGGATTTAATCGTTTTTTTCATTTAATTTTTACTAAAATTAAAAAATGAGATTATTTAGAAAGCGTTTCTTATGTTTCTTATGTGTGATTTATATTTTTTTCGATAAAAATATGACAAATATATAATTTTTTTTACACATATATAATTTTGTTTTATTTTTTTAAAAATATTTAGATATATTTATTATATTTTTATTGGAGAAAAATATAAATCATACCTATGAAATTGTATTTAAGTATTCTTCTAATTAGAATATCCGTATAAAAGAATTTTACATTTTCATTCAATTAAGTGAAATATGAAAATATATATATATATATATATAGAAGAAATAATTATTAAAATTATTTAATTATAATTTATTTTTTTAATTATATATTTAGATGATAAAAAGATTCATTCTAATTGGATATCAAGTGTATTTTAATTAATTTTAAAAAAAATTATCAAAAATTAAATAAAAGTAGAATTTGACTTTTTTTTATATGATGCTAAAGTTTTGAAATTCATGTAGCGGCTACCAAAAAATAGCTAATACATTCTTTTAGTACGGAGTTATTTATCACATTGTATTAACGCTAGCAATTTTAAGTATGATTTATTCAAATCTTTGAAATTATGGAATTTTGAATATATCAAAATATTATTTTGACCAACTAATTTCATGTTTTGTATAAAGAGAAAAAAATTATAAAAAGATTAATAATCAAAATGAGGAAAATACATTATTCTAAAATAATCCACCAAACTAAAATCTTCAAAATGTCCAAATTAATCAATTTATATACATATTTATTAGTTTTGTGATAGTTGTGCTCGACATCACAACTCCAGTTAATTAGTCTAATAAAATTAAAACCTTTGTAAAAGGATAAGGTTCATATGTAAATTATGAATATTTCAATTAAAAAGTATGTTCGTAGTGATAGGAGAGTCGAACTCGATAAAAATAACGGTAATACACATATACTTTTAGCATCATGTAAAATATCAACTTTATACCCCATAATTCAATCAAGATTTGAGTAGTTTGATGACTTCTCGACAAGTATATTGTTAGTGTCGAAGTAATAAATAAGATCGTATCCACATGAACTGCTATCTAACGAGACAAATATTGTGCAATGTTTAAAAAACAATAGTTGGGGGATTTCTGAGTTTAATTTGCGAAAAAGAAAAGTTGTTCTGATAATTAAGAGAAGGCAGACAGATTTTGTCTAGAATCCCTTATTTCTCCACTTTTGATGTCTAATGCATTACATGAATGAAGCGTCGTTATATTTCCACAGTGAATTAATAAGACCGCTATACACAATCCTTTGGTGTACAGCTCACTAATTTTCACTAGAGGGCTCATATTTTTATTCAACTGGTGTAAGTGAAATTAAGTGATTCTAAAGTGTATTAATTTCAATGTCACTACTAGAGGTCTCATATCCCTATTCAATTGGCGTAGGTACAATAATTGTCCTTGTTTATACGCATAGGATAAGGGTCAGTATTCCCTATATATAACACCTTAAACCCCACACATAAAATATCACATAAATTAGTTATAAATTATAACCATATAAGGTGTCACACACATCATAAAATACATAGTCCGCTCTGTAACACAGGTTTCAATAAGATATTTCAAAACATATATTTGTAATTGAGATGTTTACACGATATCCAATACATCTTATTCATACCAAGGATGTTTACACGATATACAACTCATATGATCGGCATCACATATTCATATAATAATATATTCATAACCTGTCATCGCGCGCTCACCCAATTATTTAAGGTATCATCACAGTAGAATCATTAATAGGGTAATTAACAACAACATTTCCACTCAATACATATAGTCTCGTTAAAGTTACTCCATATCACAATCAAAAGAGTTATAACAATCAAGTAAAAACAACTTAGAATCTCTACCATATAATGGTCGTTAACTCCAACATAAACAACATAATAATAATAATTCAAGCGTTCATCCCCAACCTGATGTTACATGATCAGAGCAAGACACTACTAATTAAAATGATAACTAAGAAGCAACTCCCTTAGATAACTTTCACTTACTTCAACAAGGTTACTCCTGAGTATCTGCATGATGTTCATATAAAAGCAACATTCAAACAAAAGGAGTGAGAAATCATAATTAATAATAACATACATAAATCATAATCCACCAATCAATCACAATTCAATAAATATACTCAACAAATATACATATAACTCGTTATGCAATGCAACTCGACTATGTAACTCCTCTATGCATATACATGTGGTACCAACTCAACATTTGGTTCTCTAAGGAACCGGGTCCCCTCTCTGAACCCATGAGCCCTCTCTCTGAGCTTGAGACAGGCCTCTAGTCCCCTTTCTGAACTAGCGAGCATGCCTCTTAACACAACTCAAATGATGCATGAATCATACATATCAATGTTAATGCGTTAAGACCCCTCTCTAACCCTAACATAATGCAATGACAACTCTCATAATCCCTTCTCCAAATTACCATACAACAACAACAACATACATGTTCATCACAAACATAATATCAATGTAACTCAGACATTAAATAGTTCTTCTCAATTAAACTATTAACTCACATGTACAACAATGCATCAAGCACAATATTGTACATAGTAACACATAACACATATAATAATTCAACTCAATAAAATTATTAATTCACATATATGTAACTCTCTTTAACTCAACAATACACAACAACAACATACTTATAAAATCAACAAATATTCAAGAGAAAGCATAGTAGTCTGGCAAAACATCATTAACTCGTCTATACATAACTATCTCTCATAAAAATTAATAAAATTGATTAAATTATTTTTAATCATTTAAAGCATGCCAAACAACCCGTAACACTACACGATGGTAGTCAACAGTCCTGAAAACATAAAAGAATCAGAAAATACATTTTATGAGTTTGAAATATCCCAACAAAGTATTTTTAGTAATTTATTTAATACTCTTAACTCGTAAAAAGTTATAACAATATATGATTATAAGTTTCCAAGGAACTCTAAACAATTCTACAACAATTAACTACAATTTTAAAATAACTCTAAAGTACTCAAAATTATTCTAGTGACAACTCTTGCATATAAAAATAACTATTATGAACTTAATTGGATGATGGTCTAACACAAATAATAATAAAACAATTATAAATAGTCAAATACCTTTAATTTTAATTCTCCTACTCGTCGGATTTAAGTCTAAACAACTCGAAAGCAACACTGACAATCCTAAACATGTCAAAGTTACTCAAAACAAATAAAAATATAATTCTTAATAACTCAAAAACGATTTTGACATGTCAATATCAACTCTAACATAATTGAAGGTAACTTAAATTAGTCAATTAATCTGTGGGATTTTGGATCGAACTCTAGTATGATCGAAGTACATGCTGTAGTCGAAGAAGGGTCTAGCATGTATTTGTCGAAGAATGCTTGTTAAATTAGGTTTTAGTGTTTAAACCCTAATTTGTTAAGTTAGCTTGATTATTAAGTTAGCTTGTATAATGGGCCTTGTGGAAAAAGCCCATTAGTTAGTATGTTAGGTTTTATTATAAATAGCATACTAGTCTCTCATCATTGCATCACAGCAAATCCTAATTTAGGGTGAGGGGGTTATTTGTTATTCTTGTAAACTTGTAATCTCGTTTTCTAAGAGAAAGTAAAGAATAGCAGTTATAACCAATTCTTGTGTTCTTCTTCTTCCTTGTTTGATATTCCTCTCTTATTCTATACTTTGTTATTGGCATTGAATTCACAACAAATTGGTGCGGTGAGCGTGGAGAAGATGCCTTCAACAAAGTATGAGATTGAAAAGTTCACCGGAGTGAATGATTTCGGTCTATGGCGCTTGAAGATGAAAGCCCTACTGGTTCAGCAGGGTTGTTTGGAAGCGTTGAAGGGAGCGACGGCGATGGACGATGCGTTAACAGAAAGAGAGAAGACGGCCATGATCGAGAAAGCATACAGCGCAATTTTGTTGAGCCTTGGTGATAAGGTTCTTCGACAGGTATCAAAGGAGACGACGGCATCAGGGTTATGGGTGAAACTTGAAAGTTTGTATATGACCAAATCTCTGGTAAATCGACTCTACCTGAAGCAAGCTTTGTATTCATTCAAGATGATTGAAGACAAAGTGTTGGCTGAGCAGTTGGATATGTTCAACAAGCTGATTCTTGATCTTGAAAATATTGATGTAAAGATTGATGATGAAGATCAAGCGCTGTTATTATTGTGCGCTTTGCCCAGATCACATGCTCACTTCAAAGAAACCCTCTTGTATGGAAGAGAGTCCCTGACCTTTGAAGAAGTTCAATCAGCTTTGTACTCTAAGGACTTGAACGAACGTAAGGAGCATAAACCTTCGACGGTTGGTGAAGGTTTGGCTGTTAAAGGAAAATTCGACAAGAGGAAAGGTAAAAATCAGTCGAAGTCTTATAGTGGTGATGCATCTGGTATTAGATGATATCACTGTAAGAAAGTAGGTCACACAAGAAAGGTGTGCCCTGAACGCCTGAAAGATCATGGAGGTAAGGATAATGGCAACGCAGCTATTGTCCAAGATGATTTCGAATCATCTGATGTTCTTGTGGTTTCAAGCAACAACTCGTCGAAGGAGTGGATTATGGATTCTGGATGCACTTGGCACATGACTCCAAACAAAGACTTGTTCGAGGAATTATGTGATCAAGATGGTGGATCTGTATTGCTGGGAAACAACAAAGCTTGCAAGATTGCAGGCGTTGGATCTGTGAGAT